ACCTCCCCCCTCTGAAGTGTCCACCAGAAGTATCCGTTCGACCCTTCACCACCTAGAAGACTACGAGTGTACCCTCTAACAGGTACACTCTTATTCTCCCTAATCTTTCTTGTTGTTGATTCTTCTAAGTTTCCCTTCTTTTCTTCTACAAAGGTTGAAGAGTAATGTGTTGGTGCTATAAGAAGGAAGCTCCCCTTCCCGAAAGTCTAGATTACTCTATTCTCCCTCGTGTTTTTCTTCATTTTCGAAGATTTTGATTTTCAGGTTAGGGAAGCTTCATGCATTTGTTTTTCCTTGAAATAGTTGAGGTGTTGGGTGTGGTCCGTGTGGATTGAAGTTAAAATGGGTTTTGGGTTGAAATAGAAAATGATTATTTGTGATGATCCTATAGTTGCATGTTGTTGTTCTGAGTTGCTTTTAGCTATTTGATATAGTTGTAAGTGTTTGTAGGTGGTTGCATGTGTTGGGAATTTTCTGAGTGCAGGTTGTAGTTCAAAAATGGTGAAGAACATGGGTGCCCTCTATCTTCAACGACTGAGCCATTTGAAAGGGTTGAGCCCTTTGGGGATGGCTCGGCTGAATGCCGAGCCGAACGGAACCATGATGCATCTCCATATACAGCGTACTGGGTCAGCCAAATGTCGATCAAGTAGAATAGCCGATCAAATACTTATCGACTCGGCCTACAGCCGAAGACGCTCAACACCCTGAGCCCTAACCTGTCGGCTCGGCGACGTGCCGAAGGATAAAGCAAGGATTATAATATTGATCATAGTTAACAAGGATAAGCGCATAATTAAGATGTAATTAGCCAATTATCGTCGTATTACCTAATTTGGTAAGTGTCAGAAAAGGTCCACCATGTTCAGGCCCATGTCAGGTATTATAAATAGGTCACACGTAACGAGGTACGTCACTGTTCATTCTTTACCCTAGAAAATCGTGCTTGTCTTGACTTGAGCGTCGGAGTGCCTTTTGCAGGTACCTCCCCCCTCTGAAGTGTCCACCAGAAGTATCCGTTCGACCCTTCACCACCTAGAAGACTACGAGTGTACCCTCTAACAGGTACACTCTTATTCTCCCTAATCTTTCTTGTTGTTGATTCTTCTAAGTTTCCCTTCTTTTCTTCTACAAAGGTTGAAGAGTAATGTGTTGGTGCTATAAGAAGGAAGCTCCCCTTCCCGAAAGTCTAGATTACTCTATTCTCCCTCGTGTTTTTCTTCATTTTCGAAGATTTTGATTTTCAGGTTAGGGAAGCTTCATGCATTTGTTTTTCCTTGAAATAGTTGAGGTGTTGGGTGTGGTCCGTGTGGATTGAAGTTAAAATGGGTTTTGGGTTGAAATAGAAAATGATTATTTGTGATGATCCTATAGTTGCATGTTGTTGTTCTGAGTTGCTTTTAGCTATTTGATATAGTTGTAAGTGTTTGTAGGTGGTTGCATGTGTTGGGAATTTTCTGAGTGCAGGTTGTAGTTCAAAAATGGTGAAGAACATGGGTGCCCTCTATCTTCAACGACTGAGCCATTTGAAAGGGTTGAGCCCTTTGGGGACTGCATGACAGAGGGAAATCTCTGGAATCAAAAGGCTAAATCGTTTTAAAAAGCTGAGCAGTTTTGAAACGACTAGGCTATTTAAAGGGTTGAGCCCTTTAGGGACTGCGTGATAGGAGAGCATTCCTAGAGGCAAAGGGCTGAGCCGTTGTGAACGACTAAGCGCTTCTTGAAATGGCTGAGCTGTTTGAAAGGTTTAAGCCCTTTAGAGGCCGCGTGACAGGGAGGATCCCTAGAGGAAAAGTGCTAAGGGCTATGGGAGGTGTTGAGCAGTTTGATGCTTTCCAAATTAGACTTTGTTGTCTTCATAAAAGTTGTAGCTTTGGATGTTAACTTTCCAATGGCATTGGATTCACCCAAAAATGAGGTATAGAACTTCAGTTATAACCTTTTTAGTGAACAAAGGTCAAACTGTCAAGATTTAAGCTAGTTGTTATGGTTTTTACATTTCTTTTAACAAGGTAAATGATGGAATTAGGACGTGATGTCTTCATGAGATTTGTAGGAATTCTTATTGTCTTTCATGTGAGACAAGGATGAGCATGATAGGTGTAGTATAACTTCATATATGTTGTTTTATGTCAAGGATGTCATTTCACAATAAGTGATTTGGTTAAGTTGAAAGTTGTTATGGGTGTTTAAGTTGATTTGTGTTGTTTATGTTGTGTAAGTTATTTTTAGTTGTCAATTTGATTAAGTTGAAATCTATATGAAAGTTGATTTAAAGTTGCATTAAGTTGTTTTAAAGTTGTCAATATAATCATTGTTGTAAAGTTGCATGAATGATGTTTATAGTTGTGAAGTCATTAAATTTGATATTATGATGAATATAGTTGCTCAAGTTGTTTATTCAAGTTGATATTATGATGTCTATCGTTGTAAAGTTGTATAAAGATATCTATTGTTGTAAAGTTGGGGACATATAGTGAAGATATATGTCATATGTTGAGATACATAGTACTAAGGTGATCAGTTAAAAGTTATTTTTTTTAAGTTGAATCCCTTAGTATTGTGTGGGCGGCATGGAAGTAGTCGATTCATGTCATGGTTAAATGATCAAATTGAGTAAGGTATCTAGTTAGAGATGTAGTCTTTGACTATATACTGGAGGGTGCGTGACACTAGGAGGACAATAGGTGGGCTAACTCTATATGTGAATTGATGATGTAAGCCAAGGTCGTGGTGGACCCATACCCAAACCTTTCTATCCTAACAGTAGTACTAGACCTCTGAATCTGTGGCACACCCAAACAATCAACTATTGTTGTCTATACTTGGTTCTCTTCAAAATTCCTAAGATGCTCTATACTTGACCTAACTGAGATAGGTCTAATGTTGGATTTGGTAGGGTTTATATTACATAGACTGCTTAATCTCAGTTGTTGGAGATCTCTTAGTTGTATATGCGTAACGACGCATTAGTTGATGTTGTATATCTATTGTTGTTTGTGTTGTTGTTTTAAAGTTGAAAGATATAAAGTTGAATGTTGAATTCTATTGTTGTTTATTATATATCGATACTATTTTATGATGATTATTGTTGTAAGCTTACCCTAACATGTTTTCCCTTGAGAATTGAGACTGTCATGACCATACATTGTATGCGAGTAGATAGGATTAGGGGGTGCTGTGATGGGTTAGCAGATTCTAATGAGACTTAGTAGGAAAGCTGAGACTTTTGTTGTAATAATATTTTTGTAGGTTGCCAGTCATTTTGTATAAAATATTATATTACATTATCAGTCATGTATATGTATATGAGACATTAGTTGTTATTTCTTAACGTTCCTTTAATTTATAACTAGTGACCTTTATATATTTATTTAATTTTTTTTAAATGAGGTTAAGTAATAAAGTTATTTAAGATTTTGAAGATTTTATAATTAATTTATTTGAGTGATTTCATAGATTATTAATTTTTATTTTTATTATTTAAATATTTAAAAATAAAATCATTTATAAAAAAAATGACAACGAAAAATAGTTATAAATCATTGCACTTTTGTTCTACTTGAGAGACTAAACCATTTATTTAAACCTATAAAATAAATAAAACTAGATTGCACTTTCATCCCCTTTATAATATTTGACATGCAAATTTGATCTTTAAATTTATAATTTCACAATTTTAGCATCTTAATTTTATAAATTTTTTATTTTTTATCACCTTACGAAAATCTATTCATTGAATATTAAAATTGTAACATTAGTTGTGATATGACACTAAATAAATAACATAAAAAAATAATATCTAATAATAGTTAGGTTAAGTTTTTCTGTTTTTATTTTATAAAAATACACAAAGATAAAGATTAAAAGTATAAATTAATATAAATATTATTATATTATTTATTCAATGTTAGATCATGACTATTGTTACAAATTTAACTATTAACGAATTAATATTTAATGAGGATATCAAAATTGTCAATTTTATAAAATTGTGAAACTAAAATTATAGAATTAAAATTTGAAAAATCAAAATTATGGGTTGAATTATAAAAAGTTAAAAGTACAATTTAATCCATAAATTATTTTTTTTATCCCTATGAAACACATTATTTGAACATAAAATATGTACATATTATCTTAAACTTCTAGATAATTGTTCACAATCCATATAATTATTAGTCTTTCAGCATATACAATATATATATATATATATATATATATATATATATATATATAAGGGATCAAATTACACTGTTATAACTTTAAACGATTAAACCATTCAATAACTACTCAAAATTCACCATTAGATTGGAACTTCATTTCACTTAAATTATACATACAAAATTTTATATTAAT